CCCCTATAAGATCATTGATTTTTCCGTTTTATCTGAATTACATGTTGTACGAGTCACTTAGATTTTACAAATACGTGTGCCGGGCTGTGAACGGCTCACATATTTGTAAAATCTAAGTGACTCGTACAACATGTAATTCAGATAAAACGGAAAAATCAATGATCTTATAGGGGGGTCGACTGTACTTCATTACATGTTCGAGCATGGTTACTGTCATCTTATCGGTTGATATCATATCTTCTAATGAAAATTTCTCCATGTATTAAATGAGTCTTCTAAATAAGGTGGATCCCATAAAACTAGACCCGCTTCGAAATTTGCAATTAAAAAAAACGAATGCGTAATTTTTCCGGAAAAAGTTTAAAATTATGTGTGGAGCCATCTGTTACGAGATTTTATTTTGAGGGTAGAGATGAGTTTTAAAAAAAAAATTGTAAATGCTGATAACGAGTAAAATCGTCATTAAGTCCGACCCTACTGGAGACACACACGACCCCAATTATCTCCTCACACCTTCGACCTTAATTAAACAAAATTTAATAGCATCGATCCCCCTAATAAACAAACCTCCTTGCAAAGTGTCAGAAATATCTGACAAAAACACAAAAGTTATTAAGCTTAAAAAAAAAAAAATGAACAAAATCGTGCCTACCACACTTACGACAGAATAAACCCTGAACTTTTTTTCGCATTTCCCGACGTTTCAAGGTCCACTGAGTCAAAAATGTAAACATCTAGGAATTCTTTTTTACATTGACATTCCAACAGTGGAAATGCCAGTATATGGTGAACGGGAATGACATATCCAGAATGGACCACCCCGAAAAATTCCTGATGTTTGTCGACAATCCTAATTCGAGTTCGGAGCAGCCTGAGCGGCGAGCTTTCATATTAACAGCTCGGCCATCAGTTTACATCTGTTGTAACGACGACGTGAAATTGCCGATTCGCGCTAAAATGTCAGAATGACTCAGTAGTTCCTGATCGTATGTGAGAGCAAATTATCCAGAAACAAACTTCACAGTTACATAATTATGGTCTCGACTTATTGTTACAAAAGAATGCTTACAATATCAAAGATCTACCGTTGTTGGGAGAAATAAACTTTCCTGGATCCTCTCCTTTCCGTGGAAAGTGCCCGTCCCGCTGTTGATAATCTCCTGAAGTCTGCTCGGAGGTAGATTGCCCCGGGGCGTTGTTGAGAGTTTAAATACGAGAACTACTCTCTTTTTTCTTGTTAGATCGAACATTTCTTTATACGGACACGAAATTTCCACGTCTTTATACCAACAACAATCTTACGTAATCATTTTAAAGAACTCCTTTATAACTTCGCGTTGTTCCGAGTGTTTTCGGGTCCTCACAAGGATATCATGAAAACTAAAAACAGCTTATAATTGAAAATAAATTTATGACATACGTCTTGTATTAGGCCCGACAGCGCAGGATCTATATATATAACCCATTCATTTCGTGTCCGTCCCGTAACCGTTTCATAACGGACACTAGAGGCGACCCCTATCGTGTGTCATATTTCAAACATTTAAATCAACAATTTTAATTATTATTTAAATTAACAATTAAATTATTATTATTCATTTGGCCAATATAACAATATAAATAATTCAGTATATTTGTAATAGGAATTATTTCAGGGGCTTATATCTCGCGAAGGGTCGCGAGTAGGAGTATGGTTCCTTTTATTTTATTGTTCGCACAGGGGGCTACAGTTTGGGGGGATCGCTACCTCTTCATTCAAAGGGTAAATCTTACCATTCGTACTTTTACAGAGCTGTAGAGCATATTGATAGGAACAAAAAAGTCAAAGGAACCGTGCCTCATGGAAATTTGTAAAGAACGCCCACTACGGGGCGTCCCTGGCTACTAGTTTCTATATAATTTATGCAGAAAATTGAAACTAATAAAATTCAAAATTCAGATTTATTTCAGATTACTCAAAGANTTCCTTAGACAATATTTGAAATACAATATAAATTTACAAAACTTTTTTGAACAAACATTCAAAGAGGAGAATGTATTTTCAAATCTCAATAGTACAAAAAGCTTAATGCTCTTTTTCTGAAACTATTTCGAATATAACATGCTCTCATTGTAAGGTTTAAAAACATGTTCTCTTCTTTGAATGTTTGTTCAAAAACATTTTTAAAATTTATATTCCATTTTGAATATCGCTGAGATGGTTACACACATTGAAAGGGCTTGCTTTTATACATTTTTTGTGGTAAATAAAACAAAATTTTAACACAGACAGTTGTATCTCTCAGTACTTAAAATAATTATGTAGTATCTCAAAAAACAAAAAAATAAGTTTTTTTAATGAANATTGATAGGAACAAAAAAGTCAAAGGAACCGTGCCTCATGGAAATTTGTAAAGAACGCCCACTACGGGGCGTCCCTGGCTACTAGTTTCTATATAATTTATGCAGAAAATTGAAACTAATAAAATTCAAAATTCAGATTTATTTCAGATTAATCAAAGAAAAAGAACGGAAAACATTTTATTCCATCAGAAATATATCTGATATTTTTTATTCATTTAAAACAATAATTAAATTGTCGTATTTTCAATATTTTAACGACCAATTTATCATTTTAATATTTCGCTTCCACGATAAACTTTACGATAGGCCTACGTCTGACACAACCCAGATACCTATTAACAATAAATACGGATCTATATTAAGTTATCCGTGTCATTTAAACTTCCATAAATAAAATATATTTTATTTTTCAAAAATCTAAATTTTGTACGAATTAAAAGACTAAACGACGATCGACGTCATTCGTGACTTCATTACAACAATGCAATATTTAAACAATTGTTAACGGATCAACAATGAAATTAAATCATTGTTGAA